TGGGGTCTGGGCAAATTACTTCTCCTAAGACATGACTACTGGAGAAGAATGAAGGCCAAAGGTTGTCTGAGGGGTCCATTAGGCTCAGAACTTCTCCTGACTGATATGTACATAAGTCATTTCTCTAGGTCCTATTAGATCCAGCCTTTGAGGTAAGTGCCTTCTACTAACAACTAGGGAACAGGAATATAGAAAAAAGATGAGTACAGAAATTAAAAAAGAACTCTTTGCTATGTTGATGTTGCTGAATAAAACACATCAATGGAGTTATGAGTTCATTTCATAGACTGGCTTACTTTGCTATGTAAGAACATAGCAAAGACTAGGCCAGGTGTGGTGGCTCACGCCTATCATCTCAGCACTTTGGGAGACCAAGGCAGGTGGATCACTTGAGGTCAGCCACGCTGGTGGTGAAACCCCATCTCTACTAAAAATACAAAAATTAGCCAGGAGTGGTGGCGCACACCTGTAATCCCAGCTACTAGGGTGGTTGAGGCAGAAGAATTGCTTGAACCCAGGAGGCAGAGCTTGCAGTGAGCCGAGATTGCTCCACTGCACTCCAGGGTGGGCAACAGAGTGAGACTCCATATCAAAGCAAAAAAAAAAAAAAAGACTAAATAATTTTAGTCAAAGATTCCTCACAGAAAGCCAATCACAATACCTGAGTCAGGCATGGAGGCACATGCCTATAATCCTAGCACTTTGGGAGGCTGAGGTGGGCAGGTTGCTTGAGCTCAGGAGTTCAAGACCAGCCTGGGCAACATGGCAAAACCCCATCTCTACAAAAAATACAGGTGTGTGGTACACGCCTGTGGTCCCAGCTACTTGGAGGCTGAGGTGGGAGGACTGCTTGAACCCAGGAGTTCGACACTGCAGTGAGCCAAGATTGTGCCACTGTACTCCAAGCTAGGTGACAGAAACCCCACAAAAAACCCACACAATACCTGGCAAGGAAAGAGTTTTTTTTCAATTTAACAAGGCGGGAGCATGTCTGAACATTTTCACATGTACAGTCACAGGGTTCACATACCTCTGCTTTCCCTATACCTGCGGTATAGGATATAGGCAATTGTTGCACTGGCTGGGATCCCAAGGCCCAGGGCTATTTTCTGAATGGTGGACAGGCTTGTCCAAGAAGTTCGTTCAGTGGACATTTTCTGCTGTACTCTGACTTACATCCTGAAACAAGCAAAGCAGGGAAAAGAGGGAGCTTTCATCCAATACTTGTATGAATAGCAGAGAGGCATGGGAGCACATTATTATTGAAAAGAATACTACTGCCTACCTTCCAATTTCAAGAGCTTCAGCAATTTCAAAATTTATTTCATATAAAAAGGGCTCAGGGTATATTTTTAAAGTTAGCTAAGGTACACATAGAATTAAATAGAAGCATACTTCACTTTCCCCACCCAAGGAGAACTGATCAGTTTTAAAAGACAAACCAAAAAAAAAAGGAATCAAATATTTAAAATATATATACTTAGATTTCATATTAAATTATTTAAAATTACTTATCTAAGTCCTTTTATGCCTCCAGCGGTTTCCAGAAGCTGCTGCCTCTGCAAGTAATACCATTCCAGGCTTAGTAAAGGCCTTACTATTTACCTTTGTTGAAAGTACAGTCTTCATTTACTGTCTCTACTTTTGGTTTCTATTTATTTACTCCTTAATGAACAGTGAAATGGGGTTCTTCCCTACTCCATCACCAAAACTGTAACTTCCCAGATAATCAACCCAGAGGGCATGCATGGAGCCTTATCTCATCCATCTCTCTGCAGTAGCAGGAAGGTGGCCACTCCTTCCACAAAACTCTTTCCTTGGTTTCTGTGCCCTCTTTCTGTTGGTTTCCTTTTATTTCCCTGGAGGGTCCTTCCAAGTTTGGGCTTCTCATCCTGTGCCATCAATTGTTAATGTCACTCTGCTCTCTTTAGACCATTTCATCCACATATGTGGGTTCAATTACTACCTATATGTTAATAACATCAACAATGCTGCATCTGGCCTGATTGAGAAGCCCAAATCTTATTTAGACCACTGTAATGGCCTTCTTACAGGCTTTCGTACTGAGTTTCTCTCTGACACTGTATCTTCATTTTGCTGCCAAGCAAACTTTAATGTGTTCCTCATTATATTTCCTTATTCCACATAGTTTCTCAGCCTCCCTCTCCACTCAAACCTCTCATGCTGCCTCCTCTAACCTTTCTCAACTGAGGTCCTTGCTTTCTATTTCACTGAGAAAGTAGAGCATTCAGAGAAAATATCCACAAACTTCTACACATTTTCCCACCTACCTCCACCTGTGCCTAAATGCTTGCTGTTCTCTCCTATGACCACAGATGAACTGTCTCTGCTCCTAGCACTGAAGTCTTTCATAAAAGCACTGCTCCACAAGTTCTCCTTGCTTCTCCTGCATTATTAACATTTTCTTTCCCCTCTACTAGACAGTCCCATCAGCAGACAAACATTCTCCGTTCTTAAAGAAAACCCTGGATTTCACTTCAACTACTTCCCATTTCTTTTCTTCCTTTTAAAGGAAAACTTGAGTGTCAATATATCTGTCCTCAAGTTCTCTTCTTAAATCCACTCTAACTGCTCACATCAGGGTCACCAATGATTTCACATTGCTCAATCCAAAGACTGATTCTCAGTTCTCATCTCACCAGATGTCCCCACAGTATTTGGCACAGCTGGTGATTCCCTCTTCTCTGAAACACTTTCTCCATAGCACACCCTCCTGGTTTTCCTCTTTCCTTTCTGGCTATTCCATCAGTCTTCCAGTTGCTGATTTCTTCGCATTTTTCTATCCTCTAAACACTGGAGTGCCTCGGGGATCTGTCCTTTGCCCTCTTCTCTGTTCTACCTCACTTCCTTGGTGATCTCAAGTCTCATTCACAGACTGGCGTTAACTCCTATCTATATGCTGATAACTTCCAAATTAATAGATCCATGTAGGACCCTTCTCAACTGCCTACATGGATCTCCATTTGATGTTTAATATACATCTCAACTTAACACTGAGCTCCCGATTCAACCCCTTGCCATAATCTTTGCCATCTCAGCAAATGGCAATTCCTTTTTTTTTCTTTTGAGACAGGGTCTTTCTCTGTTGCCAGGCTGGAATGCAGTGGTGCAACTATGGCTCACTGCAGCCACAACCTCTGGGCTCAAGCAATCCTCCCACCTCTCAGCCTCCCAGTAGCTAAGACTACAGGTGCATGCCACCACGCCTGGCTAATTTTTGTATTTGTTGTAGAGAGAGAGTTTCACCATGTTGCCCAGGCTGGTCTTGAACTCCTGGGCTCAGGTGATCCACCAACCTCAGCCTTCCAAAGTGCTGAGATTACAGGGGTGAGCCACTGTGCTCCGCCTCGACTGCATTCTCTTACTTCGTCATCCTCTCTCTCACACTGCACACTTAAACTGTCAACAAATCTTATTTGCTCTACCTTCAAATTATCCAGAATCTGACCACTTTTTCTCTTTGCAGTTCTATGACCCTGCTCTAAAATACCATCTTTTCCCTAGATTACTGCATTGCCTAATGACGTTCCTGCATTTGCCATTGTCCATTCAGTTTATTCTCAGCACAAGAGCTGGAGTAAGTACTATGTGCTAGATGCTATTGTGGCACTAAAGACACAAAAATGAAAAGATAAATGTGTTGAGTAGCTACTATGCCAGGCACATTACATAATTTTATTTAATAGTCATATAACCCTGTAAAGTAGGAAATATTAATCCTATAGAAGAGTACACACGCTTGAAGAGGTTATCTAATCTCTAACCCAGAGTCTGGGTTATTATTTGCGTGTAAAAAACCTTGTAAAGTGATTTTAGAAATCCTTCCCCACCCTTCTTTTTACCTAAACTCTCAGGGTAACAGCACCTGTATTTTTATTCTTTATTTTGATTAACATATCCAATTCAAAATTAATACTGACAGAAAGTATTGTAGGTGGTTAAAAAAACACTGAAGACTAAAAAAACTAAAGATAGGTAATAAAAAACTGAAAACTAAATATCTGTATTTCTAGATATTATGATCCAGTAGAATAAAGCAAGCTGGCTTTAAATGAGATTTGCTTAAAAATGAGTAAATGTAACTTTGCTATAATTTGCCTCCAGGTACAAAAATTCAACCCAAATAATTATAATAAACAAAAATGTATTTCACTTTGGGGGGAAAAACTGGCTTTATCCTGGTAAGGCTAAAAACATACTCACTAATACAAAACCTACTGTGGAATAAAACTTAGGCTTTCAGGGAAAGCACAGCCGATCAGGAAGAGTGAAGAGAGAAAGGAGAACATCTAGCACCGAAATCTCACTGAGGAGCAGATAGAGTCAGGTGAGGGAGGCTGGAGGTAGGTTTCTTACAACAGTCATCCTCTCTAATCCTCGAGAAATATGTTCCAAGAACCCCAGTGGATGCCTTGGAGTACTGAAAACTATAGGTTTTTTCAATGTGATAACCAAGATGGCTACTAAGTGACTAAGAGGCGGGCAGCATATACAGCATGGATATGCTGGACAAAGGCAGGATTCTCATCTGGATCAGGATGGAGATTTCACCATGCTAGTCAGAATGGTGCACAATTTAAAACTTAAGAATTGTTTATGCCAGGCGCGGTGGCCCAAGCCTGTAATCCCAGCACTTTGGGAGGCCGAGACAGGTGGATCACGAGGTCAGGAGATCGAGACCATCCTGGCTAACACGGTGAAACCCCATCTCTACTAAAAAAAAAAAAAAGAACTGTTTATTTATGGAACTTCCCATTTAATCTTTTTGGACCAGGATTGACTATGGGTAAGTGAAAGCAAAACCACGGAGAAGGGGAGACTACTACACTGTCATACAGATGACCAGAATTTGCATCTGGCCTCAGAGTTTTACTGATCAATAGAACTGAATAAAGTTCTTCAGAGAACTACCAGAAGTTTGCCAAATCTATTTTTTCTATATTCTGGTTTTAAACAAATTTAATCCACCTTCTTGCCTGGACTCGCAGCCTGAGCAAAAAATAAAACCGCCTTTTACTACTGGGGTGGGGGATGGGTACCTCTTTTCAAGTGCGTTGTCTACTTTGGGTCATTACTCGGTAAATTCAGTATATCATTTTTAGAGACTATCAATCTGAGGGAATACTGTTCTCTCCTGACCTTTCTAGAATGTAGGACAGAAAGGGTTGAGTTTAATGTAGGCTGTTTGCTTTCATTTATGAGGTTCTTTCTCCAACTCATTGGATAAACATTAGCTTCTCTTTTTTTAAATAGGCTGCAAATAAAACCCTTCACCACCCTGAAAATTTGGATGGTATTATATAAGCATCTTTGTATATACCAAAGGCAACAAATTGTTTCATAAAGGAGATTTTTGGCTTAAGTAATTCTTGAATACATACTTCCCAAACTCCTACTTTCCTACATTGAGATGGTTTATTCTTGGTTTATTCCAGAAAGGATTTGACTTCTTTTGTCCCCTGATTACTTCAGATATTTTCTTTTTTCTTTGAGACAGAGTCTCACTCTGTTGCCCAGGTTGGAGTCCAGTGGCACGATTTCAGCTAACTGCAACCTCCACCTCCCGGGTTCAAGGGATTCTTCTGCTTCAGCCTAATGAGTAGCTGGGACTACAGGCACCCGCGACCACGCCTGCCTAATTTTTGTATTTTTAGTAGAAACAGGGTTTCACCATACTGGCCAGGATGGTCTCAAACTGCTGACTTCGTGATCCCCCCGCCTCGGTCTCCCAAAGTGCTGGGATTACAAGGCGTGAGCCACCGTGCCCACTTAGATATCTTCTTATATGACCACTCAAGTTCCTAGCTTGTCTCCATTATTAATGCGTCTTGGTTAAATAGTGCTACCTCCTTCTTATGTGCTGAGCATGTTGGGGACAGAAGGAGGAAGAAGAATTTCTACTTGGAAACCTTCATAGTCTAGAAAACAAACACCAAAACAGGCTGGGTACAGTGGCTCTTGCCTGTTAATCCCAGCACTTTGAGAGGCTGAGGTGGGAGGACTGCTTGAGATCGAGTATTCAAGACTAGCCTGGGCAACACAGTGAGACTCTGTTTCTACAGGAAAAAAAAAAAAAAATTAACAGAGGCCCCAAGGACTAGCTGGGCGTGGTGGTGCACACCTGTAGTCCCAGCTACTCAGGAGGCCAAGGTGGGAGGATGGCTTGAGCCCAGGAGGTGGACGCTGCAGTAAACTGATCACACCACTGCACTCCACCCTGGGCAACAGAGTGAGAATTTGCCTGAAGGGGTTAAAAAAAAAAAGTATAGGGCAAGATGTGTGTATGTTATATGCAAATACTATGCATCTTATACAAGGGACATGAGAATCTATGGATTTGGGTTCTGTGGGGTTCCTGGAACCAATCCCCTGCAGATAATGAAGGGAGAGACGACTGTATAAATTCTTGGTCAATGTGACAGCTGAAAGAAGCTAGAACCTTAAGGTTTATTTCTTAGATGGTGCATAGCTGAAAATCATCTCATTACAGTACAACTCATTTTCCTTCTGCAAACCAAGACTACATGAATGAACTGCAGTAAATGGACATTTATTCAAGCCAATAAGTATCGAGTTCTGATGTGTGCTTGGCACTGGGGACATAACAGTCAAGATAGACTTGGCAGCTGCCTTCATGGAGTTTCTTGTCTGGCATGGAAGATCCTGACGGGAAGGAGTCTTTAGGTCTTAAAGGCTTTGAGAAACTGAAATCTAGCCCTATGAACAAGAATGAACTTGATCTGTATTTTCATGCTGTTTGCTTCTAAAAACACCTTTCTGGCCATAATTCATGCTTATGGGGCATAGAAATCAAAAGATTTTATAACTAGAAGGGACTACAGAACTTATTTGATTCCATTAATAATGTTCAACTTGGGAAACTGAGGCTCAGGGATAGAAAAGTATTGATCTAAGGTCACACCGCTAATTAGTCATTTCTACACAATACAGTGTGCAAGGGAAATAAGTCCGTTTTGATGGCCAGTCATAATCACACCTCTTTACAGAGGCCCAAAGGATTAGCAGAACTTTTGTTTTCCAGTTCTGACACTATCAAGTGCCGAGGGGCTTCTGCAGCCAAGGCCCCTCAATCTCGATCCCCTACACTGGGTTGAGTTACATTGCTATGGGCTTCCACAGGATCCCCAATACGCCTTCATTCACACATGCCATGCTTGTCATTCTTGATTAACATCTGTGTCCGTGGTGAGGAGAATGAATTGAAGGCAGCAACGGTAGCTTCAGGAGACCAATCAGGGACTAGTCCAGGTGTCAGTGATGGAGATGGAAAGTAGACGAATTGGAGAGTTTGTTGTTGTTTGGATAGAGACAGAGCCTTGGTCTGTCACCCAGGTTGGAATGCAGTGAATGATCATAGCTCACTGCAGCCTTGAACTCCCACAATCATCGGGCGTAGCTGAGATTATAGACGTGGCTTTTTTTGGCCAACTTCTATTTGAAGCAAAAGGTAAATTTCACTAACTCCTCTTCAGACATTACAAATGAATTTGTGCTAGTTATCAGCTGATGTCTCAAAAATGAGAATTTACTTGATCTGTCACTATGGTTTTGTTCACAATTTTCATATCCTTTCAGTTGTAGGTTTCTCTTAAAGAGAAATGGAAAATAATATAATGTAAACGGGGATAACTGCGTAGTACTGACTGCTAGTTTGTGTTTGATTTTATTACTTAAAAATTGAATGGGAAGGAGGAAGAGACTAGAACTTAAGACCACAGTTCCTAGGGGAAGCTAAGAAGAGGAGATGAGGATCATTGCTGAGTGAGGTATGTGGTTAGATAACGGTTTTCAGTAAAAGCTAACTTTGAAATTTCCTGACATTTGTATTGAACAATTGCCAACAACTATCTGATACGCATTGCTAAGGCTTACTTTATCATTTAAAATGACAGGAGTCAAATAGGATGTGATCAGGAGTCAAATCACATTGTTAGCTTCATGAAAGCATAGATAACTCATTCCAGTATCTCCTAATAACCAGAACCTACCAAGGACCTACAACATGGTGACATGCTTGAATCGAAGCAGCTCAATGTTCTCATCCTTGGTACGTTTTATTTTAAACTCAGGAGAAAAAAAAAAAGCGTCAACCCCTTTCTCTCAAAACAAGGAAAGGGTCTAAAAGTCAATCCTTCTAATGGGGGTCTCCAGCCAACCCCCACGATGATACCTGCATTAAAGAATAAGGAGGGATACTGGAAAAACAAAAACCCCAAAGTATTATTCTGACAACTGTCAACAGCCATCCTATTAGCGATAACTAAAGAAAAAGCTGGGGAAAGTTAAAGGCAAAGTGATACATGGATGGCAGCTCTCCGTCTCAAAAAGGCCCAGTGGACGAGTGTGAACTGACTCAGGGCAAACACAAACGCTCCTGCACCGGGTCCGCTGTGGCCTAAGCGTGTGACCGGAGCATTTTCCTCAGATATAGTAACGAGTTCCCAGTGGGTCAAGTTGCCCCCGAGCGGCGTCTCACAGCCCAGGGCTCCGACTCCCGCTCCTGCGCCCCACATCCTTCCCTCGCCCCGAAGCACGCCATAACCCTCCCTTCCCTCGATCCCGCATTTCCGTCTCCTAGTGGCCAGGGCTGCCCATGACCCAGTCTTTCCCACTCCCCAAACCTTCGCTCTCCATCCCCACTTTACCGCTGCTCCAGTCAGCCGTCGAGCGCGCCGCCTCGCGTCTCACCCCAGCTGCAGCCACAGCCGCCGCCGCCTCCCACTCACACGGCGACTGGGAGGCCCGCCTGCGGCGCTTCAGCCGCCACTTCCCCGCCCCCGCAGCCCGCTAGCACCAGTCAACACCCTGCTCGCAGTCCGACCAATCGCCTTCTCCCGTAACAACCAATCCTTCCGCGGGCTCCCCCTGAGCGACGTGGCTGCTGCTAGCCACTGCCCAATTACCCGGATGGAATCCAAAGCAGGCCCACCCTGTCAGCCAATAAGATCCAGGAAAAGCAGATGTTGTTAATTGAGACCGCACCTGCTGAGAATTAAACAGCCAATTACAAGCTTCCCGGAGACCTCGCAGACCACCTCTAAGGCCAATTACCGAAGAGTTTTCTATCTTCTAACCCTCGGGGGAAAATCGGCGCTCATGCTGCTGGGACCTAGGCGTGAGAGCGTTGAATCATGCGTGTCACCGTTCGCACAAAATTGGTGTCTTTGTACAAAGACAGTGCCACAACACAACTCAGTGACCATCGAGAGAGCAGCCTCATGATGGGCGATGCTCTATTAGTTGTTTCTCTTGCGATATTTTGCGTAGATCAGTCTGGCTCCGCGTATGGCGACGAGTACTCAAGAGACACAGAAAACGTTTTCTTTTTGGAAAACATGAAATAGGCTTTGTAGATGGAGAGGAGGTGAAGGGACAAGCGGTGCGCCGCAGAGAGCGAGGACCCACTCTTCTATTCCTCTGCGGAGGCACGGACACAAGGTGTGGCCCGAAACAGCGGCAGGAGAGTGAGACCCGAGCTCCGACCGCAGTGGTAAGGGGGCAGGGGACCGTAGGGGCGCCAGGGGCCCACCCTTCCCTGGGGATTCGAGGAAACGAGTCGAGGCGACAGCGTGAAGGCCTACGCCGCGGGGTGGCGGGGGGCGTTTCTGTGGGGGCGAGGAAGGGAGCGGGTCTCTGCAGGCGGAAGTTTGCTTTGGAAGATTTTATTCCAGACGCTGTCCTGGTCCCTGGACCGTTAGGAACGGTTGGGTCTTGCTACCGCCTCCGCGCGGCGGGGAGCCTCGCGAGCCCAACCCTGCGCCCTACGCGGTCCACCCTGTCCCCGCCCCGCGCTAGGGGCTCACCCTGGGGACAGGTGTCGGGTGCTCCTGGTCATTGGGGGATCTTCCGCACTAGCTTCCATCACAATACCTGGCAGGTGATGAGCAATTAACGTTTGCTGAAAGAACGCAAGGTTGTATCTTTTGTCAATTAGGGTGATGCCTTTGGGCTTCAGGTTTTGCTTTCTATTAATATAAAAATGTGTATGCGTTTTGAATAAGTAATGCATTTACATTCCACAAAATTCAGAAAAAACAAGGTTATTATAGTGAATAAATCTTCTTTCCTTCAAGGCAACCAGGGTTACCAGTCTCTTGTGAAAATTTTCACAAGATATTCTATAGTTAATGTGTATATATGTGTAATATATACAGTGTATATATATACACACATATATTTTGTTTAACCCAGTTGATAACATACGTACTATTTTGCAACTTTCTTTGATACAGTCTGGAAATCTTTCCGTAGCAGCATATACGTATCTGCCTCATAGTGATAGTTTCGGAGTGTGCCTGAGGGACATACGAAGATATATTTAACCAGTCCTTTAACATTTTATTGATATGCAAGGATACTTCATTTCCTTCTTGCATATCTGTATGATAAATACTTAGAAATGCAAGTGCCAAGTTAAAGAAGTGTGTGCATTGTTTTTTCATTTGGATAGATAAAATTTTGCAAATTCCCTTCCTCCCACAAAGATTTTTATAATTTTCATCCCACCAGCAATTTTTGAAAATGATTTTAGTTAGTATTACCAAATTGCCTTCCCTGGAAATTTTACCAATTTTGTCTCCCATCAGCAATGTATGAAAAGAACCTGTTTGATAGCACACTGGTGCTGTTAAACTTCTTGATTTTTGATAATCTGATCATGTAAATGCTATCTCATTGCAAGATAAAATTTCATTGCTCTTATAAGTAAAGTTGAGCATCTTTTAATATAGTTACATGGCAATTTTTTTGTAAATTCTGTTTTTCTATTCTGTTCATATTTTTATTGGTTATAGGGTCATTTCTTAATACTTGCTGTTTGTATATAAGTTAAAAGTATTTTCCCGGCCAGGTGCGGTGGCGCACGCCTGTAATCCCAGCACTTTGGGAGGCTGAGGCAGGCTGATCACTTGAGGTCAGGAGTTCGAGAACAGCCTGGCCAACATGGTGAAACCAGGTCTTTACTAAAAACACAAAACTTAGCCTGTTGTGGTGGCAAGCACCTGCAATCCCAGCTACTTGGGAGGCTGAGGCAGGAAAATCGCTTGAACTGAGGAGGTGGCGGTTGCAGTGAGCCGAGATTGCCACTGCACTCCAAGCTGGGTGACAGAGCGAGACTCCCTCTCAAAAAAAAAAAAAGTCCCTTTTCCCAGTTTGTTCTATGTATATTGTTTATACATATAACAAGTATTTTCCGTTTTCCCAGTTTGTTCTATGTATATTGTTTATACATATAACAAGTATTTTCCGTTTTCCCAGTTTGTTCTATGTATATTGTATATTTTGAGGCTGGTTTCCAACTCCCGACCTCAGGTGATCAGCCTGCCTCGGCCTCCCAAAGTGCTAGGATTAGAGGCCTGAGCCCCTGCCCTTAGCCTGTTTATGATTATTCTTTGCAAAATTTAAAAATTTTTATGTAATTGAATTTATCAGTATTTTATTTGATAATTTCTGGGTTTGTTTCTTTCTTTTTTTGAGACAGTCTCATTCTGTTACCCAGGCCAGGGTACAGTGGCGTGATCTCAGCCCACTGTAACCTCTGCTTCCCAGATTCAAGAGATTCTTGTGCTTCAGCCTCCTGAGTAGCTGGGATTACAGGCATGTACCACCACACCTGGGTAATTTTTATATTTCTAGCAGACTCAGAGTTTTGCTATGTTGGCCAGACTGGTCTCAAACTCCTGGCCTCAAGTGATCCACCCGCCTTGGCCTCCCAAAGTGTTGGGATTACAGGCGTGAGCCACTGTGCCTGGCCAACTTCTGTGTTTCACATAATTTTTAGAAAAGTCTCCCACTACTTAAGATTATTCTTAAAGGTCCTATGTTTTTTGAAAAGTACTTTGATAGTGTCTTTGTATATGTAAATATTTGATTCACCTGGAATTTATTTTGGTGTAAAGGTGTGAGATAGAGATCCAACTTTGTTCTGTTTTTTCCAAATCCTTCTTATTGAATAACCCATGTTTTCTCCATTGTTTTTGAATGCTACCTTTATAATACCACATTGCCATATGTATTTGGGTCTGTTTCTGGATTTTTTTCATTTTGTTCCATTGATCATTTAAAAATTTTTTAAATTGTGTACATTGTTTTTTTTTACCACAATTTAAAAAATTAATTTACAATATACATACAGAAAAATGCACAAATGACAAGTATACATCTTGATGAATTTTCACAAATGGAATACATTTGTGTAAACAGCAGCAGATCAAGAAACAGAACATTACTAGTGCCCCAGAAGCCACTTGTGTGTTCCCTCGCAGTCACTGCTCTTCTCAAGGACAACCACTCTTCTGACTCCTGATATCATAAACTAATTTTGCCTGTCCTTGCTTTTTATGTAAAGAGAATCAGAGTATGTATTCTTTTGTGTCTGGCTTCCTTTATTCAAATTATTTATGTGAGATTCAGTCATATTGTGTATAGTTTTAGTCCCTTCATTCTGACTACTGTGTAGTATAATATTGTGGGGCTATATTGAACCATAATTTACTTTTCTATTCTGTTATTGTTATTTTGACTGGAATCACATATTTTTAGATTATATAAAGGAGAATGTATGATATAGAGTCTTCCTATATATTTAAGTCATTGGCGCCCCATCAGTAGAATTTTAGTTTTCATTATGTAGAATTTACATACTTCTTGTTAAAATTATTCCTAGGTATTTGAGTGCCTTGATTGCCATAGCTATTTTTACTTTAAAAAGGACAAAATAGTAGTTCAAATCCAAGGAAGAATGTGTCCAGTGTTTATATAAAAATACAGGCCTACTTTATGGGTCCATCTTCTTCTAGCTCCAGTGAAGGTGGGATGGGCAAAAAAGAGGAAATGAAGTCTGAAAAGGGGGTTACAGTTTATAGATAAACCACAAGAGGAATTTATTTCTTTTTAAAGACAGAGTCTTGCTCTGTTGCCCAGGCTTGAGGCAATGGCATGGTCTCTACTCATGCAACCTCCACCTCCCAGGCTCAAGCGATCCTCCTGCCTCAGCCTCCCAAGTAGCTGAGACTACAGACATGCACCACCATGCCTGGCTAACTTTTGTCTTAGTAGAGATGGGGTTTCAGCATGTTGCCCAGGCTGGTCTCCAGCTCCTGGGCTTAAGGCATCTGCCTGCCTTAGCCTCCCAAAGTGCTGGGATTACAGGAGTGAACCAGTGTGCTCAGCCTCAAAGGAGGAATTTCTTAATCAGAGCAGTGAAAACCCAGGTGGCATCACTTTTTTCTGGAATTTTTTTATTTTTATTTTTTTTTTTGAGATGGAGTCTCACTCTATCATCCAGGCTGGAGTGCAGTGGCACGATCTCGGCTCACTGCAACCTCTGCCTCGCAGGTTCAAGTGATCTTCCTGTCTCAGCCTCCCCAGTAGCTGGGATTATAGGTGCACACCACCACACCTGGCTAATTTTTGTATTTTTAGTAGAGATGGGGTCTCACCATGTTGCCCAGGCTGATTTTGAACTCCTGACCTCAGGTGATCCACCTGCCTCAGCATCCTAAAAGTGCTGGGATTACAGGTGTGAGCCACCGTGATCTTATTTTTAAATAAGATTTATTTTATCTTATTTAAAAATAAGATTGAATTCTAACTTGCTAGGTAGGGAGGTTGGGGAGCAGAAGAAATAACTTTGAGTGAGCTGATGCCAAACTCACCCTCAAGTCACTGTACATTTGGGATTTGTCATCTCATTTCTCCTCTCAGATCCCAAATCAGGATTGAAAGATTGAATTGTGAGATGCTGGGATTGAGTGAACTGTAATTTCTTTA